CCTATATATAGATAAGTTAAACAACATATAAACAACACTAAAACAAGATAAAACATAATACACATTTGACAATTCTCTAATAATAACGGTATATATACATAAAATAAACAATATATAAACAATATTGAAACGGGATAAAAACATAATACACAATTCTAAATGACTTCAAAATCTAAATTGAATGTAGTTTATACATAAGATAAACAACATTTGTCTACTTTACATGACATTTACAAAATTCAACCAACAACTTTGCGTACTCTAAAAACAACATATTATAGATTATGTATAACTAACGTATAATTTGTGTATATGGTTACTACACTCCTTTGTGGCACAACGCACAAAATCGGGAAATACGCTTTTCCTCTTCCGTCATATGGCATGCCCAATCGCTCCGCGGGCTTCAGCTTCTTCAGAATATCAGTGACAACAACAACACCGTCGTGGATAACAACAAATTCACCCTTTCGATTCGTCGACGCCTCCGATTCCAGAAACAGTCAGTGATCCCTTTCGGTGAGGATGAGCAGGCAAGGTTGTACCGCCTCAAGGTCGGGCTTTCGAGGTTGACGACAACGACATGACCAAGGGCTATACCATCCATAAACATAAACCCAGATATCTGCAAATCCAAGTTTGAACCTTCCAAATCCCTAGCTTAACAAAACAAAAGGGCTTCAGGCCAAAACAATTATCACCATAAACTTCCCCCATTTGAAAATCCTATTGTAAAAACCGTTAGTCACCTTAAAATTAACCTGTAACCATAACAATCAATCTCGAAAACCAAATTCAATCTCAAAAAGCCAAATTCGAATAAAAAAATCTCGAAAACCAAAAACAAAAAATAACTCAGAATTTAAAATCGAAAATTCAAATCTCTATAAAGTCTAACAATAGAGATACATAGATAGAGAGAGCGAATCGAAATTTACTTGGCTTCTTCGGCCGGTCGTCGATCGTCTTCACTGTTGACGGATTTGGCTTCGAATTTCCTTCGTTTGACCATTGAATATTTCAGGCAGAGAGTAGCTTTTTGTGTTATGGAAGATGACTATTTTGGCTATTACGTGTGGAAGGAAGGAGAATATCTCTTCCCAATATTCATTCAATGATATTACCACTATTAATGTGTGTAGTGGGTAGTTTAAAAGTTGCTTAAAATAAACCATTATCTTAATTAATTAAATATTTCGTAATTATGATAAAAAATTTATCCATTCGTACTATTCATATTATTTAGCAATGAAGAGTAAGTGGAATAAATTTCTCAAACACAAACCAAACAATTTAATATACAAATTATCACGTGGGGGCCCAATTTACTTGATTACATCAAGCCCAATCAATAACTCCAACCATTCACACCCTTAGTGTAGTTGTGGGCTTGCTGTTTTGCTGGGTTTGTTCTTGGGGCTGGTTAAGTTTGGTTGGGTTTAAGAGCTTGTTGTTTCTAGTTTTTGGCTAGCTTCAAGTTTGTTGTTGGTTGGTTGATTGGTTTAGCACACCTATTCAGTGTTAACTCTCAGTTCCACTCAGCCAGTCTAGGGATTTTCCCGGTTATATTGTATGTATGTACTCTTTTTATTTAATGAGAATTTTATCGTTGGTAAAAAAATAAAATAAAAAATCTTGACTTAGGTGAATTTGGGTTCTTGAGCGCGATGATGATATATGAGCATAGAGGACCGGTCTGAAATTCTCCGGAACATAGGAGCTCGACCGCAATTTATTAAGTTTCAAGCAACTTTGACAGGTGGCCACTACGCAACACCTCCATCGTCATCCGTCCAACTATCTCAAATTCGTCAATTGCAGTACGCCCGACCCGCCTAAACCCGACCCAGATAGTAATCCCCCAGTTTGCTGTACCTGATCTGAGCATCCATTATTGGATTGTTTGATTCGACGCTTCCTAATTTCCGGTTGGAAGATTTGGGGATTCTACAAACCCTAAATCTCCTGTAGGGTTTCTTCCTGGAGGTAGTGATCTCGCGCGGAAGCGCATGTAGTAATTGTATTTGATTTGAGCCCAAATTCTGCTCGGATTTTTTTTTTTTT